TGGATTTAAAGGCTATTCAACAGTTTCACTTTTAGATCCAGCATCACTAAAATCATACTTTCATTTTTTCAGAAATAAGATTTGGAATTTCCACAGCTTGTTTTTTCACAGCAACAAGAGACTAAGGTAAAATGTAGGGACTTTTTTCACTAGTCGTTTCTACTTACTTTTTATAGTAACTTCTTGTTCCTTCTGTGAAGCGAAATAGACAATGCCTCTGTATAGAAGAAGATGAGAAATTAGCTATTTTGTAGTCTATGCAAGTTATCATACTTCGGTATTATTTTATCTGGCATCTTTTGTGGATTCTGGATGCCTTCAGACTAACCAAACAGCAAGTGTCATAGCTGGGGAGCTGGTGCCTGAGAAAGATAATGAAGGAAGTAGATGCATTTATTTTTATAAGCAGTATTTCAGAAATTCCAGAAAAGGGAAAGAAGCAGATGATAAAACTTTCTTAAGTTGTTTCTTTTTTCCCTTTTTTCAACAGATGACAAGTTAGATGTGGAGTACAATTGTAAGGTGTGATGTGGGTTACAGGGTAATGCGTTGGTGTTCTTTTTGTAGCTAGGAACAAAGTTACAATTCCTGAAACAGACACAACCCTTTAAATAGATCTGCATGTAGATCTCATCCTTCCCATCCGGAGATGAAAATTATAGGGAGTCAGTGATGCTCTCCTCCCCCTCTTGAGGGCTATACAGAGGTTGTACTCTTGTCAGGTGATGAGAAAGGTGGAGGGAGTTAGAGAAAGAAAAGGGTCAGGGAAGCTTTGGGAATCAAAAAGCCAGTAGGCACTGCGGAAGGAAAGACAGTATATAACCCATATAGCAGGCTATTGAGGTTGCTGAGAACTGAAGATTTTGAGGCTGGCAGATCATTATCTGCTGTATAAGCCATATAGCCAGCAGTATTCATACATGTCCTCCAGGTTCATATTTTTTCAGTTACTTGATCAAGATATGACCATGTTAGAGGTGTTACCTTGGACGTGGTGCCTGATGCAGATACATTTTCCCTGAGAGAATAGTTCTCATTTGAGTTACAACACATTCCTCTTGCTTTTATTTAGGCATGATCATACTGTGGAGGTATCGAACACTCTTTGCGTAGGGTGAAAGCTCTTCATCCCAGCTGCTTCCATAAAGCATCAGAAACTCTGTAACAGGCTTTCTTATACTCAGATGTTCAGTGCGCATCCCAAGCAGATCTTTCATGAGATGAGTGAGGGCTGCAGTTTGAACGGGGGACCTAAGTATGAACTTGCTGTAATACCTCTGTCATCTGAGGCTGAAGAATTGTTGAGTCAGACTTAGCTGCATCTTCTTCCCTGAATGACATGCCTTCCACAGAAAGATTCCGCTCTCTCAAGCTGATGGGACACAACGATTCTTAGTAATAAATATGTTGCATATGTTTCTGTGTTGGGGCCCTGTACAGAAGTTATTACTCCAACACTGGGTATTTTAGCAGAAATCCCAAATGGTGGCTCTAGATGCAGATATTGGGGTGAAGTGTCATCAAGCATTTTATTGCTGACACAGGAAACAGAATGTCAAATTAGATGAGTTTCCTTCTACCTTTTCTTATAAATCTTCTCTGCCAAAAGAGGAGTAGCTCTCTTCTCCTTGGCCATAAATCACAAAACCAGTGGTGAAGGTTTTAAGACACCACATCCTGCATGAGGTTTAGCCTTTCAGCTTTCCTCTAACAGCCTCTGCGAGACAGTGCAGTACATTAAAGATGCAGAAAGAGGGTTAGAAATGTTGGATAACTAACATGTTGCATAAAGTGCATTTTGTTCAAATAATTCATTAAGGTATCAAGAACTTGTTTTCTCTTTTGTCTAGAGGAAATTAATTGAAGTTCATCATATCGGGGTTTAACAGGGTTTTAGAAGTATGAGTTAAAGCAAATGCTTAGCACAGTTCTGAAATGCTTTTCTTTTCTTACATTTCAGAAAAGTCTGAAGTAAGTTTCAGTTTCCTGAAGGATATTTGTATTTTCTGATGCCAGGCCAAAAATGATGTGGTCAGTATTTCCAAACTCCCTTCCGAGACACACAATTGTTTTATCTTTTTGTCCATCAAAGCCTGAGGAAAGTCTCTTTTGATTACTAGATGTAGTGGAAAACATATTTACATCCCAGTGCTTAATTCTTTTAATCTCTTTTGCCTTTAGTAATATTTTCATAGTACTTGTTACATTCCAGTCTTCATTATGCTCTGCATGTGTCAGAATTTCTTCCAGTTGATCCTGTAATTCTCGATGTCACTGTGAATCTAGATGCATCCTCTATTTTTATCCCCAGTATCCTCCTCTGTGCCATTTGAATAAAAAACTAGATTATCTGAACTCTTGAGGTCAACTGCTAAAACTTGTCAGCTGATTTCTATTTGTTTTCAGACAGAACAGCCAGTTCTGAAAATAAGCAAACTTGATACTCATTGTCCTATTTGCAGGTTGATGCTGAGGATAGCAGGAGCAACAGTAAATTACACGTTCTTTTTAAAATACTTAGAAGGCTCATATTTGAAGTTGGGTAAAGAGCAAGTTTTAAGAAAAATTTTAATTTCTTGGCAGATCTGTACTTCCTTTAATAATTTAATAATACTTGTTGGCTAACCCTGCTCTTACCTATACTGTCTGAGTTAAATTTGTCTGATTGCTCAGCATAGTAGTTCCTCTGGTAAAGGATCCAACTCCAGTAAAATTAATGGCAGGCGTCCAGTTTAGTTTACTAAGAGCTGGATCAGAGTTATTTCCTATTTCATGTTATCTGATGAAGGACTTGATTACAATTTTTCCAGCATGTGGATATGGCCTCCTGTGTTTGTATATTTTCGTGTCTAGAAACTGATTTCCCAGAAACAGGGAAAATTTGGCTTTTCTTTTTCAGCTTAGCCCATGATTATTTAAGCAGTCAAAGCAGAAGAGTTTCATTTCTTACTTCTCTCTGCCTATGATTAAAAAGTATTTATTTGTAACTTAAATAAGAGAGTATACTTTTCTTCAAACAAAACCATTTTCTGTGAAGTAAAATCACATTCTGTAGATGTTGTTACCTACTCTGGGTAGATTTTGGGTTTCTGGATTTGATAACAGTACTTCCAGGACAGTACTCTACTTGTATTTCCTGAGACTTAGGAGGTTTTTGTTTTTCTTCCTCCTCTAATAAAAACAATGATGATGATAATAAAAACAATAGATTATGGGAGAATCCACTGTGGCAGTTTCAGTGAATTTCACCTTTAGTGACTTTTTGTTAGGCATTGCTAGGTGCTTCAGATTTCCCTGTTTTATTGTCTTCTGGATAATTCTTTGGTTGTCTTGTTCAGTTTTTCCATATTTCTGAATATTGTTTTTACTATTAATTATTATTTTGAAGACATACTTTCTGCCTGAGATCACAATTTTATCTTCCCACAATCATTACATCCCTTTATATTTATGAGTTTATGGTAAGTGTATGAAAAAAGTGGTCGATGCTTCTTATTTTACCTAGTGTAAGGTCTTTGACAGAGTCATAAATGTATTTGTTACAATGTTCTTTGGTGTTTCTGTAGCAGCATGTACTGTCCAGCTATCCTTTGATGAGGATGCAAATGTAGGGGCAGCTGCGATCAGGGAACAAGCAGAAAAAAATATTTCCTGAAGACGACACGCTGCCTGTAGGCCAGCAGGAGCCTTATTTCCTCTGGTACTACTCTCACCTGAACATGGTATTTTGGAGCTAGCATTAGGTTATTAACCATAAAATCTGCTTGCCTCAAAAAAGTATTAGGCTGATGTAGGACCAGCTTTTCAGTAATTAAATTTCCTTAGCATTTACAGCATTGTTACTTCAGCCTTTATTTTTCCAAGTTATTACTCATTTACTAGATATTTGAATCTGTGCTGTTTACAAAATATACTATATGATGACAATATTTCATAAACATCAAATGACCAAACTATTACATACCAAATGATTTGCCAGAGACATTTTAAAAATATTCATGTTTTGTTTTTAATTTCTTGCTGCTTTTATTTAGTGATTCATGATTGACCAATACAAGCTACTCAAGTAGTTGAATAAATAAACAGTTGAGATTTGGAAACCTTTATCCATTCTTTGCATTCATAGCATTTCCCAATTGAGAATTAAACACCAAAAATGTTATTTTACTTTTTTCATAACATTGTCGCTATATTAACCAGTAATAGTTGTCCTCAGAAATATTCCAAACTGGATTTTTATACCCACTGGAAACCAAACACTGAAAACAATCCCAAAGTTGTATTTTCACCTGCTATATTTCAATTACACGTAAACAGGACATGAGAGATACGAGAGGCATATCAGTAATGTAATGCATACCAGTAGCATCTTGAAAGAGGAACATTTTAGAGACATTTTTAAAGTGGAATTGGGAAAATTGGTTCATTCAATTCGTCCAAACAGGATGAGCCTGAATCAAGCTGATCAAGTCAGATCTCCAGATTTCTGTTATCTGACTTATTTCTTCATTTTTAGGGATCAAAAATACTTAGGAACATGAGTAACACCACCTCTTTAAACTGGCAGCACAGTTTTCAAAGGGAATACCGAGTTAGGTAAAGTTGTTTACAGAATTGAGTATTGTTAAAAGTATTCTCAGGACACAGCCCTACAAAAACATTTGCACTGAAAGCAAACTTGAATAACTTTTCCATTAGATATAGTGCCATTCAAGTATTTGGAATTACCCACATTCTTTCATTTTGTCAGTTGTTTGAAGGATCAGATGTCGGCTTGGTCTTTTTAAGTCTAGTAGGCACTGTATTACGAGTGTCAATACTTATTGTTTCCCTGGGCTTTAAATTCTGTGTTAAAAAAGCAGCAGAGGGCGCTGAGCCCACCGGCACAGCCCAGTACGGATCTCTTCCCCCCTGCTGTGGATTTCCCCGGCCAGGGATTTCCCACTCCACCTCGAGGAGAGCCTCTATAAAGAGCGCGCTGGCTCTATTCTAATAAACCATTGCAGAGCAGCAGGATCTCGCTGTGCTTCTTCACAGAAAATAGAAAGCAAGGCTTTTGAATTTACTTTCTTTACCTAGTAACAGCAATTGCAAATGTTAAAAGAGATGGGAAGAACAAGCCAAGCTCTGCTAATAATTTTGTATGTGTTAATGACTGGTAAGTTGAAGGGGGTTGTTTGCTTTATTTGTTTTTAATTTTGTTAAGTGTAAACTGACCTATAATTTACAGTTTGATCTTTATTTCTCTTTGTTCCAGTTGCTTTTACATTTCAGTGAATACAACTGTCAATTAAGTAGTTCTGTCAAAATGTCAGGAAGCTTTTTTTGACATTTACTTTGAGCTTTTCTGTGCTCTGCAATGACACAGTCATTTTCTTATTGAGTTTGCTAAAAGGCAGTCTAGGAGACAACAGCAGTATGTTACTACGTGTTTGATTTTTACTGTCATCCCTGACAGTATCAGCCAAGCTTGGTACTAAATGTCCTGTTGAAAGTGATTCTGCAGTTGTCCTTGCTATCTTACTTACCCCCCCTCCCCTCAAATATTACAAAGTTTTAGAATCAGATCCACCTGACAAAAAAAAATTATATTGTGCCAATGCATTTATTTTCACTGACAGCATTGGGTTTATGCCATTTTGTACATGAGAACTGTCTGTTAGAGTCATCTGAGTCTGTACTTTCTTTGACAAAACCAGCAACATTTATGGGGTGTTTTGGAGATGTAAACCACTGTATGAGCTTTATTAGTTTAACTTCCACACAACTGTAAAGTAAACTTGCAAAGTAATGACCTTATGTCACAGTAGAACCTGAGAAGAAATGGGAAAATAGTTGTTGAGAACGCTGCTGAGTTTATGTATGTTCTCCCTATTGTAGTTAAAGCTTTTGAGATGGAGATTATACCTGCTAACAGAATTGTTGCACAGATTGGAGACACACTCATACTCACATGCAATACTACTGGCTGTGCATCACCAAGTTTTTCCTGGAGAACCCAGATGGACAACCCCCTTGGAGGAACAGTGAACCACCATAGGACATACTCTACCTTGACAATGAATCCAGTCAGCATTGCGAATTCTCATGATTATCTGTGTACTGTCTTCTGTGGTAAGAAAGAGAAAAAAGAGAAGAGTATCAAAGTTGAACTTTACTGTAAGTAAAAATGTAAAATTCTGTTTAAGTAGTACATGTTCGTAAAAAATCCATAATTGTTTTTAGATATTGTGGTTGGTAGTTAACTGATAATGCTAGGATAATGAGTCTGCTATAGCTCAACATGTATTTCCTTGTAAGATTCCTTTATCTCTCTGTTCGGGACTCTTTCTCTGCCCCTTTCTGCTTAGCTTTCTGCACTGAAGGTAGTACATACTGGTCTTATTTATTCTTACCCTTGGTAATACTTGAAAGCCAAAACAGACTCCCCAAAACATTCGTAGAGCTGGAAAAAAAAAAAAAAAGAAAACAATCAGTGTGGTTAAGATGGATGTATTTGGGAAACCTGCAAGTGGAGAGCACCTAATCAAAGCCTTTGCAGTTTGCAGCGGAATGATTCAGATGTCTAAACCTACCAGCACAGAAAACAGGATACCACCAGTGTATGGATTGCTCTGGATGCCTGTCTTTAGGCAGCTGTATCACTGCCTAGGTGCCTTGCTGGGTCTTAGATCAGTTGTGATCATATTTCAACAATTGTGCAAATATAATTCCTGCTAGGGTATGAACTGCTTATGAAAGACTTGTATGTCTTCATATCAAGATATGTCTTGTAAGAAAGTTGATATAATGTCATGTTCTGAATGCCTCTAAATTCAAGATGTTTGATGTCTGGATCTTGTTCTTATGTTGACCCTAGAGCTCATCTCTGCCAGACTAAAGAAATGGATTTTATTCTTTTAGCTTTCCCCAGTGATCCTGTCATTGAGATCAGCCCATCCTTAGCTGCTGGAGAACCAGTCACAGTCACCTGTAAAATTCCTGATGTGTATCCTTCTGAATACCTGGAAGTACTCCTAAAGAAAGAGGAACATGTTCTTAAAGAGAAATGTTTTTATGAAGATGACAGCGCAAATACAGAGACCAAAATTGTGACATATTCATTTAATCCCACGGTTGAAGATATTGGGAAAGAGATTACCTGTGTGGCCAAGTTACCAATTGTTTCTATGGACTTTGAACCCAAAGAAAGAGTAACTTCTCAGAAACTGAATGCAAACTGTAAGTATTTTTATCCTAGGGCTTTCACACCAAGTACCGTTTAATGTTAAGTTTCATGGAATGGGTTTACAAAGCGTGTTTTATAAATCATTTATAATCTGCACTTCTTATCTATATTATTTTTGTAGATAATCTATTATATTCAGTTGAATTCTCTTATATTCAGTAACAGTCATTGAGTCATTAAATACCCACTGTTGTTCGTGGCAGAAGTAGGCAATGCTTTGGTAACTCCTCTCACTCTCTTACCTTGGGCTATAGTATTCAGTCAGAAAGTAAAGACCAGAAGAAAAATGGCAGCATGCAGATAAACAATTGTTTTTAAAATTGCCATTGTGTGCTTAGCAGTTCCAAGTTTATAGTCGTAAACAATAGGGAGACAAATGTAAGATTAAAAAAAAAAAAGTTGTACACATTTGGTCTAGCTTAGCTTTCAAAGCTGCAAGCTAAATGTCTTATCAGGTCTGGAAAAATTGTTCCACTGTGTTTACTGGAATATCCATTATTCATTTTTTCTTGATATTGTGTGAAATGTACCTCTAGAGAAGCTAGTGTTAAAGATGTGCGTGTCATTCATCGTTAACTTACTGACCTCGCCTCTCTCGTTCTCTTCCAGTTGGTCCACAAAATACTATCATTACTGCATCTCCAGGCAACTTGGCAATGGAAGGAGACCCTCTAACACTCACTTGCGTGACTGAGAGTAATCCACCACCACGAATAGTTTGGAGAAAACATCTGGCTGATGAAAGCATTGAGCATCTGATAGAAAACAATGTCCTTTCTATTCCCCATGCCCGTTTCACTGATTCAGGACTGTACATCTGTGAAGTAATTAATCTGGTAACTAATAAAACAGAGAAAGCAACTGTGGACATTGTTATACAAGGTACAAGTCTGCTTGAAATTAATTTGTATCATCCAGTACCCGATTGGCAGCTGCCTGTTTGATTGGAGGATGCTGAAACACTGAAAATTAGGAAATCATGGGGCCTTCTTTGTTATATATTCAGGATTTAGCTTTCAATTTACTGCTGCTCTTCATGGGCTGTGCTTTTCGTTTCTATGCTTAATTTTCAGCTAATTCTTTCTGTACTGCTGTTGTACATGCATACCTCTATACATTTCCTACAACGCAACACTCAAAGTGATAAAAGAATCTGAGAATGTGGTGGTGTGGGGGTCACTGTTATTGAAATGCTAATGTACATAGCAATTTCACAGGGACATCACAGTCTCCTTCTTTGAACTAGTAGTTTTAGTCATTAGTAGTAAATTTACTAGTCACTTAATAGTAAAACTATTTGGGATGTTGTTGTTGTTGTTATTATTACTGCTACTGTTTCAATAGAGCCAAAAGTCTCAGATGGAGCCTGGGACCAAAACCAAAATTAACAGATCCTTGGGGGAGCAATTTCTACTTTGTTAAACCCCCCTCTGTCTTCAGTACTTTTGCATTAGTATAACAGCCTTCTCTTTTGTCATGCAGGTGCTCCAAACATTGCAGAACTCTCCATCGAGCCTTCTACGACAGTTCAAGAAGGAGAAAATGTTACCATACAATGTTCTGCTGAGAGTAACCCTCCTCCCAAGATTATTTTGAGGAGAAAATCTGACAGTGCAGACATGGGGCCTTACAGTGAGGGGAGAATTCTCCTTCTTCCGTCCGTGACATTTCTAAATGGAGGAGACTATGAATGTGTAGCAGAAAATAAGTTTGGGAAAAGTAAAAGTGAAATAACATTTAATGTGGAATGTAAGTATGTGTAATGTTTTCCCAATAATTTAAAACTAATTAGTTAATTCGTCACTTACTTCAGTGATAAATGTAACCATCAAACTAAACAAAACCCTGTGAGTACAAAAAAATCAGCATAGTCCTCTGCTCTTCCCCAAAGAAAGGAGCAGTGCTGATGAGCAAAACAAAGACATGAAATCTTTAATGTAATGACAGTCATAAGGCAGGATCTGAATGAGCGAGAAACTGATCTACCCTCTTAACATTCTTGGTTAGAAGTACTTGGTTAGTAGTTCAGGCTATAGAGAGTTTGTATGGAAGCTCTGATACTGTGTGCTTTACTTATTCTGAGAATGAAAAAGAAATTAACTTGGGGAGACCAACAACCTGGCATCCAGTAGGACATGTTGGATCCATCTCTAAAAAATCCAGTGATGATTAACTACAGGATGCTTCCTTTCAGATGGACCGAAGAATACAATGATCTCTGTTATTCCTGCTACTGCTGTTAAAGAAGGAGAAACTGTGACGATGAAATGTACTAGTTCTGGTAATCCAGCTCCAGTGATCTCTTGGAAGAAAAAGAAGGCCAACGGGGAGTCTGAGAAAATTTTTCAAGATGCAACTTTAACTATACAGAACATAAGAAGTCAAGATCAGGGGCTTTATGAATGTGAAGCTTATAATCAATTTGGCAAAGAAGAAAAAGCTGTGAAATTACTTGTTCAAGGTTAGTAGAACAAGACAGAACACAGTTTTTTGTTTTATGTATTTTAGGTGCAGATCTCATTCTGTGAAGGACGGGGGAATCCTGTCTTTGATGTCAATGGAGTTAAAAGGCAGCCCTAATGTCATTAAGTCATTTAGGAAGCTTTAAACAATGAAGGGTGATATCTGCCTGAGTACAGATAGCTTATGCAAAGTTCTCACGTCAGTTGAGCTTCCATCACTCCTTCCAATTGGAAAATGTGTGCGTGAGGCAAAGAAGCTACACGGTGCCTATGTTTTCTTCCAAATAAGTCTCAGTGGAGGATCCAGATACCTACATACAAAAGATTCAAAGAGAAAGTACATGTTGAAACTTCTCTGTGGAGGGACTGCATTACAGCCCCTTGGCTCTCCTTTAAGTCACGACCCTGTATCCTGTTTTCACAAGGTGCATTTAAGCTATACCAAATGCCGATTCCTCAACCTACGTGCAATGACAGCAAATTTTCATTTTTGGTAGTAAGTGGACTTCTCTGCTTTAACTCTGCTGCTTCTGTTTATTGCATGGCAACAGTATTCCTTAGGGATACACCTTCAGTTTTCCCTTCAAGTGTGGTGATACAAGGAGAAAGCGTTACCATCTCTTGCACATCTGTGGATGTTACCTCTGTTCAGAGTACTCTGTGAAAGAAAATAGGTATTGGGATCACAACCCTTGAAACAGTAGATGGCAAATATACCATAGACAGGGCTCAGCTAAAGGATGCAGGAACATATGAATGCATATCATTAATGAACTGGGAGAGCAGTCTCAGCACATAGCACTTTATGTCAAAGGTTAGTTAAAATACCTACTGTACAGAGTTAATATTGGGATTTGGTTTAAACAGACAGAATGACATCTTCACTTCAATTTCATTACGAATTGTCTTTAAAAAAAATGAGATGAGTTGCACAGGTTCTTGTCAAAAGTGGTAGGATCTTAGTACTAATGAAAACTTCTGTCCAAAACGGCAGATGCACAGAATAATTGCTGCTTCAAAATTTTTCATAGTTCCACTTCCACCTTTGAAAACAGGATGCAAAATTGTGGAACCTAGTGAAAACAATACTATTCTAGGACTCCTTCCTTTGCCTTTTCTAGTTCTCTTCTGTTGAAAGAGGACATCAACCTCTGGTTCTGTTGGTCTGTGTCCTTTCATGAACTCAAATGAATAAACAGTGAATTTAAGATAAGAAAAGAAGAAAAGGCTCCATATAATGTAGAAGATATGCAACATACTCCAACTGATAAAATGTTCTTTCTGTCAGCTGCTGTTGACTGTAGCATGTGAAGGACAATTAGTGACACAGTAGTGTCTAAAGCTATGTGCTCGAATATTATAGTGGATCCATTAACTGGATTAGTACTTTGTCTGTACAAGCTGCTGATACCTCATGAGTTTTTTGCTTCTGTTCGTTGCTAAATCCTACCTTGCATTTCTTTTCTTTTCAGTTCCTCCCCAAAATGTTACTGTGTTAGTATATCCATCAGAAAATGTCAAAGAAGGAGAAAATGTTACTATTACATGTAGCACATACAGTAACCCACCATCACAGATGGTCCTGAAAAAAGTCCATCAGGAGAAAGAAATTATTCTGCCATCAGTGAATGGAACCTTTATACTCTACAATGTCACCAAAAATGATACAGGCAGATATTTGCTTGATGTTTTCAATGAGGTTGGAAACAACGTCAAAGTGATAAAGATAGCTGTTGTAGGTAGGTAGATCTATTGCCTTAAACTTATTTTGTTCATACTTTCTAATGAATTTTGCATCAAGGGTGAGCACAACTAGTTCATGGCTGATCCTTGTGCAACAATACTGCAGTTAACCTAAAAAGAACCCCAAATCAAACCAAATAATAGAACAGGTGGTGAGAATAAGCTGTATTTAAGCTCCTTTCAGTGTGGATGTTATTGTCTCTCTTACCCAAGTTGGTGCAGTAACTGTAAGGATAGGGCCAGAAAAAGGTGGATCCTGGCTGCATTTCTGTCCGCATGCATGAACAGTAAGACTAATCCAGAGAAAGTTCTGTTTCACAAAAAGAGCTAAAGATCGGGCTTTTTAAACATAGTCTTCTCCTGAAGCGTTGTTTGTGGGAGGTAGAAATGTCCCCAAAGGTTTCCTGGGTAAAATACATGTTATTCTTCTTGTATTCTTCATGAACTCCATGGTATTCTTCATTGTAGATGATATCAGATGGGTTTGAACTTGCATGGCAAATTCAAGGCCAGGACAGTGGCTAGGAATTAAAGTGTGTAATATGGAGTTACAACAGAAAAAAGTATAAGGAAAATGTTTTGAAATGTGCTTTGTGCATGAAAACAGAAATAGTGTTCCAAATGAAGGTCATTAATAACACTGCTTTTACAGTAATATACATGTATCTGTTTCAATCAGTTTTTACACAGCTTTTTTCTCCTTTTGTCTCCATTTTCAGGAAGATTGGAAAAAACAGATCTAATGATCCCACTGATTATTGCATTCTCCTGTGTAACAGCAGTAGCAGTACCTGTAGCTGCAATTTTGATCTACCTGTCAAGAAAAGCAAAGATAAATGGATCCTACAGTCTTGTAAAAGCACTCAGGCTGAAAGTGTGAATATAAGTCTAAGTTCATAATAAGCAATGCTATTTATTGTTGTGATGATTCTACTCTTCTATAACATATGGTAACAAACAAGTGACTTAAGAACACCGCCATATGATAGCAAATGGATTTTTTTCATGTTTTGATAAGTATTTCAGTATTTAAATTAAAGGGAAAGCTAGCATCCTGTCCTAGAAAGTGGTAAATCACTTCTGTGTTGAAGCATGCTGAACAAAGAGTTCCTTGGAGAACTAGGTTTGTACATAGTGTATAATTTGTGTTATAAATATGTTCAACTGAATATCAGTTTGTAAAATTGCAGTCTTACTGCAACTGTACAGAGAAATGTTGTTAATACAAAGTATAAATCAGCATCACTTGAGGCGATCAGATGATATTTTGTATTTTTTATTTTATTTTGTATTACTCCACAGAGTGAATGTTTTTAATATAATTTGCCTGCTTGTGGTAATGTTTGGACAATGTTCTCTTTTCACTTATATTACCATAAACTCTGTACCTTCAATGAAGTTATACAATCACTGGGCTATGCATTTCTAATTAATTTAAATTAATTTAAGATCTCACAGCTCATTCGTGAAACATTTTCTTTTTAATATTATTCAGAAAGTGTCTGGGATTTTAGTCTAGTTGGTTTTAGGACAACTAAGGTGGTTTTGTGGGGTTTAATCATTCTCAAATCAATGTCAGAATTCTGTTATTTCATAATGAGCCAAATCAGACCCTTCATTTAGACTATAAGCTGCCAACAAATATGCTTTACAGAATTCCAGTGCAGAATAAAACTACCAGTAGCTTTCTTTGACTAGATCCCCCTAGTGATTCTTGCTTAAGATTATGGAAGGAACCAGTGAAAACTATTATCCTTAGCAACAGCAGATTCGAGTGTCATGGGAAGCCCAAGTTGTAAAGGCACAAGCAAGGCAGGCAGCCACCTAAAGGCATAGGCAAGGGGGAGAGGCAAAATCTGTACAGCCTCAGCAATGTTGGGTGAATTGTTTCCTGAAGAAATGCCCTTCCCAAGCTGCTCACTGTGGAAAACTAAACCTTCCTAAACTTTCCTTTTAATAGACAACTGGTGCCTGCATGCTTCACCATGGTTAGTGCCTTTTTTCACTGCGTGTTCTCTCCAGTGTTGGCAAAATGGCTGTGAAAATAGTGGGCTTTCTGTGCAGAGGCAAGGGGGAAGAAGAGGTGGAGTTTGGTGGTATTCTCCCTTACGTCCCTTCTCCTGGCTGGCAGTGCTGCTTTGGCTCATCTGGTTGGTGATGTTCAGCACTGAGGGAAGGCTGTGGGAGGTGCAGGCACTGTGGCTGAGATGTTGAAGTGCATCTAGTCTCAGCAGCACTGAGCCACTGTGTTAGGCACAGGACGGTGGGCTTGGCTCCCCCAACCTTGCACACACAAGGTCAAGCACAAGGTCAAGCAGAGATATGTGAAAAGAGTTTCTTGATGTTACACAAATGGTAATAACTGCCCCCAATCGCAGATGTCTCTTGGTAGCTAGCTGTGGGATGAGGCGGTGATGCAGACCTCCCATATATTTTTCATAGCATGTTCAGCAGTGTTTTGTGCACAGTAAATCAGTGCATGCAGGGTCCTGCATTTATCTACAGTTGCAAAGGGAGTCTTGGAAAGTGGGGGTGTAGCAGAAAAATGGGAGAGCAGTGTGGACTTGGCTAGGAGGAATGTGAGCATGCAGTAGGAGGGTGAAGAAAAGATTGAAAACAGAGGAGGAGGAGAGCTTTGACAGGCCCATGACATAAATTTCTTGGAGGTGGTGCCAGGCAGATTTATTCAGAATAATGTCAGGCCTGTCTCAGTGCTGTCTTGTGAGCAAACCAGAAAGCATGATTTTTCCACTGTGCAAAACTTTGGTGCACACACATTTTGGCTACTGGGCATAGTTCTGGTATCTGTATTGCAAGAAGGGTAGTTAGAAAAGATACGGAGAAGGAGGACTGGAAAACAGGAAAAAAGAAAGTGCCTGGGACTTTCCAGTTTGGGGAGAGAATTCTGAAGAAGGAGGGGACGTGACTGACGTTTTCCAAATTGTGAAGGCAGTTGATAGCAAACAACAGATGCAGAACTGCTGTTTGCTAAATGATGCAATGCCAGAACTGCAGGGCACGCAAACTAAGGAGAGAGTCATTTAACAAAAATAATATAAAGTACTTCTTTACACAGTGAATGGTGAACTACTGGAAGCTGCCGCAGAAGGTTGTGGAGGGTAACAGTGTCAATTGGCTCAAAAGGGGAATGGAAAAAATAATGGACTGAAGGTCCATAAACAAATACTAAAGGGAATAGGCAGGAATGTACTGTATAACATCACTAATCCAATGGCCATTGATGCTGAGTAATCCTGAGGGAATATACTGCAGAAAGTGGCCAGGTTTCCATGCCCTCCTGAAATAGTGTCTTCCACTGCTGGAGACATATTGGGGTAGCTGGATTACTGGTGAAACCCAGTAAGGTATGTCTTTCCTTCTTATGCCTTCTCTGAGCAGTCTTGGGCCAGGCCTATTTGGAGAAGGGGCTTAGCAGTTCCTGTGCTGTTTTTTCCTCTCCCTTAGTCCCTAAGGAATAAAAAGATGAAAGATGAATGGGAAAGAAATAGGAGTCATCTTGCAACAGAGCTTTAGTGCTTGTGTAGTCTTTCCTTGAAGTTCCTCCACAGGTTCCCAGTATCCTCTCCGCTGTTGGTTTCACCAGTATTTGTAATACAGGTGCAGACCTTAATGTCTACATGGCTTGTCTGTTCTCTCAGGGTCTCCATTAAGTCATATAAGTCAATAGGAGTTGGCCTGTGATTTCAACAGGGCCAGTTTTTCATCCAGAAACACTAAGTGAGTAGATAGAGCTTGTAGTGCTCATTTTAGGAGGGTCTGGTCTTGTGTGGGCAGAAAGCTTCCTTTCAGGAAAATCACAAAGAAGGACCTTGCCAGGCAATCTCCTCCCCTACTGCCTGATTCTTGGTATTTTCCAGGACACTTAATGATTTGGGCAGAAGTTCATCCTATGGAGGTTAAAAGTTCACAGTCAAATAACTTCTCTTTTTATTGAAAATTGCAGAAGGAATGTTGTTTGTCCTTGCACTCTTTCAAGCAAAATGCAGAGCCTCCGCTCTGGCAAAAAGGCATGAACAGCAGCTCCAACCCAGCAAGTGCTTTCAGAAGGGATCAGAGCTGCCTGGAGGTCCAAATAAGAGTCCCTGCCACAGGGCCTGTCTTTATGACCAAGAAAGTGGTCTGTAGAGCAAAGGGATGTGACAGGTCTGCTCAGGTTTTCTCTACAAAGTCACCCCACAGGTTTTAGAGTTGCTGTTTCCCCTGCCTGGGCCTGTGCTCAAGCACACCGGTTGCCCTTGTGTCCTCAGAGCAGGGGTTTATCCCAGCAATACCATGGGGCAATGCTAAATGCTAATGCTAAGATGAGCCTGGATTTGAAAAGGTGATTGCAAAATCTCACTCATCGCAGCTAGTTCAGGATGTGCTCTTCCTTAAAATGTAAAGCTCAAACAGAAGAAGATATGTTTTTTAAACTTCTCCAAGAATGCTTTCAAATTATTTTGTAGGTACGCTGACTGGAACAGTTAATACATCCTGTGACAGAGGTGCTGTTGTCTGCTGGAGATAACACTGGAGGCCCTGTGTTTGCAGGGACTGGCACCCCCCGGTTTCAGGGACTAGCAGGGCCTGATCATGATGTTTAAGGCCAAATGATGGTCTGGTGTCTCTGGCTGCAGCAGGCCATTCAGCTTCATCGACTTGCTGCTGTGCTGGACCAGGTAACTTCTCTGAGCAGAACGTGTCCCCCTGTAAGACATTTGATTTTGACTGGAAATTCCTCAAAAATGGAGAATATACCATCGTCCTTGGTAATTAGCTGTGCCCTTTCTGTTGTATATACATGGCCTACTTCCTAGTCCAATTTGTCTGACCTTTTATGCCTTTCTTCCCACAAGATAATTGCATACTGTAATCAAGCCATCTCTTATTTCTTTGATAAACTAAACAGATTGAGCTGTTGTAAGCAAGCCTACCTTTCTCTATAAGGCATTTTCTATAGTGGTAAATAATCCTTGTGGTCTTTTCTAAATCTTCTCCAGCACTTCAACGTATGTCCCTTTAACATGTGGCAAAAGATCTGTATATGATCCACCAGTGCTGTTTCTGCCAGTACCAGAGGTGATTTTGCTTCTTTATTCCTCCTCTGTGCATCTCTGCTTCCATAAACAACCTTTTTTACATTTGCCATTTTTTTGTCAGAGAATCACAGCCGGGAATAAAGAGTAAGTCAATTCCTTATTCCCATTACGGTTTCTCAGTTCTTTGTAGGATACAGTCCCTCAGAGCTGTTCTTAGCACAGTTTTTTGAAACAGAAAGCGATGTGATACGAAGTCAAATGTCTCATGAGTCCAAATACCTTAAATCTAATTTGTCTGATAATGCCTACGTTCCATAAAACGATGCTGACTGGCACTAATTATGTTTTCTGTCCTTTAATCCCTGTATCAGCTTTTCCCATTATTTAAAACTTTGTCATACCAACCAGTCTGAATTTTACTCAGACCATTCAGCCTACCAATCAAAAACTGAGTTTTTGACACTACTCTATACTCAGTCTGAAGGCCACTTCACATTTAAAAAAGAAACGAGAGAAGCAGTTATATCAGGGAAACTACCTCTCTTTTTCTGTTGCCTATTGTGTGGCTCAACAGCCTTTAAGCCTCACAATCTTTTGGGGTCCACATGCTATATATCCTGCCACCAAAGTGATGCAAGTTATGCTAACAAAAATATGGAAATGCTTGTAAAAAGAGTGATGTGCTTTGCTGTTAGCTACCAGGCATCTTACTAGTTAAAATGTATTGTTCCGAGTACCTGAGTAGCCACCAGGTACCAAAGCAGTGAATCTCCTGTCTGCCCCTCTGCCCTTCCCACCTGAGGAGTCCTTCTGATGCTGTTGAAGTACACAGAACAGCCAAATGTGTCTGTGAGGTACAGGCGTGCAAAGTTCCCCTTGCTTACTGTGTTCTTGGTTCCTCTTGGTGATTCTGCTAAGGTTTGTTGTGAATGAAACAAGGGGAATATTTTTCTGACAGGTTGAAAACTTTACCCTTACAGGGGCATCTTTTGCTTTTTGCAATGCAAAGAAATTTAAATCCAAAGATTTGTGCCAGGACTAACTGAAGATTTATTTTTAAAAAATCACGTGACAGAGGATCTGGGACTCTGTTCTTACGTGACTTGAAGTGGAACA